CAAATATTATTTACTTTTTATTGCGGTATTATTATGTTAAATGGTGTACTCTTCTCCAGTTGCCAGTACCCACAAGAGGCACAATAATTTTGTTGTTATTATTGATTTCAATATTGAGTTGTAGGCTTATTTTATAAAATGGAAAGCGATATTACTAAAACAAGAATGTCTATAATTGAGAGGAAATTGTAGAATATATTACGTTCTTGAGAATTTAGTCAAAATCGAGGAAATTTTTCTTAAATATTAAATATATACCATGCCGTGTTGGATAGGTCACATACTCGCTTCTCGTGAAGTACCTAAATGATAAAAGTCGAAAAATTAAGTTTTTTTCCTGATTACAGCTAGGTATAAATAATAGGTATGTAATATTATTTTTTATATTTATTAATTCAATTGTGTCAATACACCAGGTATTTTTACAATGTTAGGTACAATGTAATATTATATTATAATATAATACGAGGAAAAGCATTAACTTTCAATATTATTAAGTTCCAATGTTTTGACATTTCTTACCAGAGTATTTTTGATGTATTATATACAAAATCAAAATAGTCTTTAATATTTACAAACAAGCTTTCGATGAATATTTTATGATTCAAACTGTTAAAGCAAGAGAAACTATCGTATTTTCTGGACCAGATTCCATAGATAATACCTATAGATATAGACTATGGTTAACTGTTTTTGTTTACATTATGGCTATCCGTGATCTAACGTAGGCATGCAGTTAGTTTTTGAAGACTGAAATACGTTTGATATTAATAATAATCAGAGATTAAAATTGTTACGTAAAAAGTTCCACTAAAATACTTTTTTTTTTTTTAAATAGACATGCTGTAAAAATGTTATTCGTATAATTTAAAGAGAATATTCTGAAAGAAAGTGTATATAATATTATGCATTATAATGCCCATTATAAGAATATCATAGTTCATAATCTTGTTTAAAAATAAATTAACAATTTTGGTAGGTACCTACCTAAGCTGAAATTATAAGTCAGAAATTCTAAATTATAATTTATTTAAATCACGCAATTGGTTCTAAATAATTATATAATTTAACTACTAAATTAAAACAACAACTAAATAATTTTAAAAAGTCGTGTGGGCGTGTGGCGTATTACCTATTATTTGAATACGTAATGGGCTTATAGATTACCTATAGCAGTAAAATAAAAGTTAATTACCAACATAAAAAAAATAATTTTTATAATACATTTTTATGTCTTAACATTTTAATTTGTGTAATATTTTTAGATCGTTATGAAGGTAGTTTCATAAATGTCAATTCAGATAATTGTCTTATCATATAAAAATACATACTAAATATTAACTAATTAGGGTGAAAAACAATTTTTTTTTTTTTAATATAACATTAATTATAATTTAGAAAACTCCAATTAAATACATAAATAAATAATAATTATTGTCAGCAAATGTATCATATAACAAGGCACCTATGCGGAACCGACATTTTTATTGATTTTTTCACATTATAAATATATAGGACTTTCCATAATATACAGCAATACGTACACCCGTAAGTAATAACTAAAAAAAAACTTACCCCGGTAATAATGCACCATTAGACTGGCTGAAAAGTTTTTCTCGTTCTTTTTTATTGCATTCTATTACCATTTCAAATTCGGTTTTGGCTAAAAAAAAAATGTACGTTGTAAACTAGGTACAGACATCTTAAATAATAATTAATTTTTATTAAAAAATTACCAAAATTAAATTCTATATAACAGTGGAAAAGGAGTTTATTAAAATTTTTCAATTTTCAAATGTACGATATTATTTTTGTTGTACAGATCAATGTTCAACGACAAACAAGCTTCCTCCTTCACTTACTTCTGAGTTCTGAATACAGATTTTCCCTTTTTCCTAGTTTCTGCAGTTCCATACTTCTGCGTATTGGAAGTACGGGTCGAGAGTTTATGTGTTTAACTAAAGCGCCATCTGTTAACATGAAAATTATTATAATATTGCAAAATTGCTTATGTTGGCGTTATTTTAAATCAAATTATTATTTTATCCATCCCGTGGTTGTGCTGTATTGACACTCAACAAGTGATAAAAATATAAAATTCATAATAGTACGATCGTTTGATAAGTATTATCATCACGTACATGTGTCATGTAAGGACTAAAAACAACAGTGAACAAAATGTGAAATTGTCACAGGACACAGACTAGTTCATAAAAAAAGATTAAAGACTAGTGTCTAGTTGTAGACAGTTGTAGACTACAGCGTCATAACCGTACTACACTGCTACTGTAACAGTAGTCTCTGTACTGTTAATTTTACTTTAATAGTAGGTAAGTCAGTTCTCAGTTGCTATAATATTGACCAATATTGAACAATGACAATTTATTACAAGAATATATAAAGTTGAACAATTGTACCGTTTTTTTTTTTATTGTATACTATTTTAAGCACAGGAATGTGAAGTTAATAATCAAACCATTTACTCCTAGTTTATGCTGGTTCAATGAGTTGAATTTATATTTTTTCCAACAATTGGAATGGTTTTTCCAAAGTGTTTGTTGGTGTTAGTCATTCTCCCGTACTTGTACTGTGAAAGTCTGGATGATGGTAAGTGTTTTAATTTAGTTTTAATTTTTAGCTTTATTAGGTGTACAGTATAAACTAAAAAAATACAATTATACCATAAGTGCCAATTTATCCTATTTAATATATCCATATGTGAAAATTAATCGATGTTTTTATAGATGGATTTAACAATATAAATACCAGTGTACAGTTGATTTCAAGGTTTTCCCAAGATCTAATTCATGGCTCAATATTGTTTTCTCAACATTCTTTGATTGATGATATTATTCTAATTTCTGTTTCTTTAAAAAATTTTGGCAACTCATTACAATGGTCTTGGCAAATAAAAGAATTTCCTGTTGATTATACTATTTTTGCTGATCGATGTAGTGACAAAAATCTTGGAAATAAGTAATTTCTTTTGAATAATTTTTGTAAAATGTACATTAAACTAAAAATTATATACATTTATTTATAGATTATTAAATTTTGATGATACATTTGGAGAATTATCATTAGAAAATCATACAAGACTTCAGTTTTCGATTTCGAAATCTATATTAGAACTTACTGGTCCTTTGGGAATTTGGTATAGATCTTTATTGCTTAAAGATAATGCTGGAAATACTATTTGCTCAACAATTATGGTATGTATATTAGTTATTATTAAACATAGTAAAATGTGCATTATTTAATAAATTGCTTTATTTAGTATCTGATATGTAGTAAGTACTAAGTAGGTACTAATTTCAATCTTAATAATAAATATTATATTTGCCTATATACAGTAGGTACCGGGATTAAAATATGTATATATTTATTTATTTTTGTTTTTGTTAGTGTATTTTATTTTATAGTTGGTAAATTAACATTGTATAATTTCACATTGAATGGATGTTGAAATGCAAAACAATATATATAATATTTATTAATAATTTTTCTACAAACGAACAGCTATTTTTAACTTCCAATGGTCTTCAAAATTAAAATTTTGCTGCTGATTTAGTTGACTCCTGCCATTTATATCTCTCTCGTATTTTTGATCTTCTAACTATTTGTTATTAAATTTATAACTACTTTTAATGTCAAATTATGTTAAATTTTTTCCTAAAACCAAAGATTTATATTCTATATTGTAAAAAAAAAAACATAATAACCGAAATTATGAAATATTATTTATAAATATAATAAGTAATAAGGAGATACAAGTATAACTATTTACTCATTATCCCATAAATGTTTGTATATTCATTAATCATTGTTAATCAAAAGTTATTAGCAGGGCTTGTTAGTTCATGCATTTGCATATCAATCAGCTAAGATTTGATGCTAAATAACATAGAAATCCATTTCAAGGTATTATGGTTAAGTTTGTGAAGTTTTGTTATGCATGCATTTAGGTTTTTTTGCATATTTGGCATATTTATGCGTTTTAAAATTTTATGGGGCATATTATCTATAATTTTTATATTAACTTGTATTTTTTCTTATGGAAATACTATGATGAAATTAAAAATGCAATAGGTTATTCTTTTTTAATATATGCAATTTATGAGAATCTTCGCAACATAAAGTGATCAAAAATACTATTTTTCAAAATATGAATGGATATTTCTTGTTATTTTAAAAATTGCTAATGATTTTTTTTTTTTTAATCTACATATTTGTAATTCATATAAATGCATATTTCTGAACTTTTTAAGGCATATTTCGACAGTTTTTAATGCACAAGTACATGCTTATTAGATACTTATTATTTTATTTTGTTTGTTCATAGAATTACTGCTGAATTGAATAATATTTGATTTGTATTGGTAGTTTATTATATTCTAATAATTTATTTAAACATTATAATTTAGCTGTGGACCATTAGATTAACAAATACATATAAATAATTTAATTATTGTGTTGGATTTCATCATTGATTAAACTATAAAAGTATTAAAGTACTTTTGTATTTATTATTATTATTTTTTAAAGATATATTAACTATAATAGAATGATTTAAACATTTAAAATACAAGAGATTAAATTAAATATTTAAATCTGAGTAGCGGGAGAATATTTCTTGGACAGATATCAACTAAACCAGTACCATATTTTTAAACACAATAAATAATTTTTTTATAGGCAAAAGATGATTCAGAATTGCGAGTGGCTGAAGCTAAGTTTCAAACTCGTTTTTTTGGGAGTATTTATATAGTTTGGGTTGGTATATCAAGAAGCTTAATGGATGCTGTCATATTTACTAATATTGAAGATAGAAAAAGTTTAAAAACTGAGCTCACTACCAATAATTGGAAAATATTTTCAACTGATGTTCTTGAATCTATTTTAGGTATGTTACTTATACATGATTGTATTATAATATGATGTTATTTGTATTAAAATAATAATGTGTCTTATACATCTTTCAGATAAGTCAAAACTGAATTGTGATGCTCTTCAGATTTTATATGATCCTGAATCTAATGGCTTAGGTGATTTGGGTGCTAGACTTGGGCCAGTTCAAATTGGGAAAAAATCATTAATACGAGATACTAATCTAGCAACATTTGATATTGAATACGAAAGTAGAGCTTTATACATGGTTTTGTTTGATAGTGAACGTGCTGATAATATTTTAGATTGTGCTCAAATAAATCTAAAAAAAAGCGTTACACTCAAGTAGTTATTTTTATTTCAAATAATTAAATCAGCATATAATACATATAATTAATGCATAACTATCTATTATTTTTTATAGGGGATTTGTCAATGAAACAAAAATAAAACTGGAATTGACATTATGGCAAAAATCAAAATTTGAAGTTACTAATGTTTATAGCAAAGCTGATTCAATTCAAAATGATATAACTTTAAGGTTACATGAAATGCCATCAATTCCAAAAACATATAAGACATCATCAAATATACATAATAATTGCTTGGGCGTTGGTAACATTTTTAATCCAACTGGTAAATCATTTCCTGCTGAAGCTGAAAGGCTTACTCAAGATAAATATGCTATTGGTGACTTAAGCGGAAAATACAATTATGATAGTTCTAGCTGGGATTCATATTTACCTCTATTTGGAAGCAATAGTGTTATTCATAGATCATTAGTTTTATACATGTAAATAATATATCAAATTGTATTTTATATAGAATTAATGTTATATTTTTTATTTCAGAAATAAGGACATTTTGACTTGCACTACACTGTTACCATTTACTGGTCCAAATTCTCAAACTAAAGTAGCTTACTTAACATCAGAAGCAATTTTTCGCTATCCTCTAGTTGGTAGAATTGTATTTCGACAACCTATTGACATTGGAGCTACCGAAACTGTAATAATAGTTGAAAGTTTAGTTCATGCAGATGGTACAACACTTAAAGATTCAGACGAACATAGGTGGTCTATAAATGTACAACCACCTGGAAAAGACTTTTATAATTGGATGGATCGATGTAAAAGTGCAGGTCCTATATATGATCCTCACAAGGTATTATTAATTTATATGATAATAAAATTCTGTGCAATTAGTAACTATTTTCAAAAATAGGTTGTGAAAAACAATATGACATCTTTCTGCAGTAAGTCCCTTAAATACTGCAGTGTAGGTGATTTATCTTCTCGTTTGAATAGTTTGTCGATAGCCGGTAATAAATTAAACGCAATAGGTGTGAGTAGACATATGTTTGTGGATGAATATATGTCATTGTTTGGAATAAATTCAATTATTGGTAAATCACTGGTGATTTATGGTGATCATGGTCCAGAAGCCCGTGGGGATCGTTTAGCTTGTTCAAAGTAATTTTACAATTGAAAATAATATGGTGGATGTATTTTATAATTAACATATTTTGCACGATATTTATATTCATTTTAAACCTTAATTTATTATTAGTTAGGTAAATGGACACTATTGAGTAGAACAATTTTATTACAGGTGGTTGGCTGTATAATAAAATATTTGAGGAATTGGTTAAATAAATAAATTAGTATATTATAATGTATTATAAGTTTAATTACAATTGTTAAATACTAATTTCAGAATAGAAAAGGTATGGCATCGAAAAGCTGTAGTAAAGGATTGGTACAGCGATACTGACACAAATTCTGTTTCTGGTAAAATTGAATTATTCCAACTTTCTGAGTATGACCCAGTTGATTTTGAGATAAACCTCCAAGGCGTACAAGGCGGTTATGATTATTATGTTTATTCAGTAAGTCTATGATAAATTAATTTCTTGAATATACATTTTATAATTTGTGATTTAATATTTATACTTCAATAGAATTCAGTTGACGGTGGTTTAGACTTACCATGTGAGAGTTCAAATTTATATGAAATTTGGGATCCATGGAATAATAAAGAGACTGGAGGTATACGATATGGAGATTGGAGTTTGAGATTTGGCTCAATACATGGTGCTAGAACTGTGTCTGCAATTGGAAATGATACCCATGCTCAGTTATTTGGCCAATTAGTATTTTTAGGTCGATCAGTAATGATACATGGGATGCCTTCTAAAAAAAGGTGGACAATATATAATAGTTGAATAAGTTTATATTTGATAATATCATTAATTGTATACAAATGTCTTATCTCGTGTGTTTAATGTTAATAGATTGGTGTGTTCTACAATAGAAAGAGGATATGCACCTTCAGAAGCTCGAGAAATCAGAGCGATGGCTTCATTTCACAACCCTAATGGTTTTCTTTATGGTTATATACGAATGGTCTGTATTTAATTGATTTAATTGATATTTCATCATATAGTTATGAACATCTTTTTTTTGTGCATTTTAGACTCAACTAGTTTATAATGATGGAAGTAAAAGTGATACTGTAATTGAAATTAATTTGCATTACCCAGGTTTATATAATAAAAATATGGTAAATTTTGAATTGTATACATTAAAATTTGACTGTTGTTTAATTTATTTAACTAAACTGTAGACTAAAAATCATAAATGGGCAATTTATGTTAACCCAGTTGGTATTGATGCCACTGTTAAAGACCACGGTACTCGGTGCACTGCAGCTGGGTACATTTGGAACCCATACTACACACAACTTGCTGATCCACTGAATGTAGAGTATATGTTGTCAATTAATTTTAAAACTGTTGTGAATGTAAAAAGTTTCATTTTAACTGATTGTGTTAATTTAAATATAATGAACTATTATAGGTGAGGCTGTATGAAGATGAATGTGGGCCTGATCAACCTTTGCGGTGTTACGTTGGAGATATATCTGGTCGTTTGGGTAATATTGACGTTGGTTCACATTCAATGGTATTTTCTGATCCAAATTTACCTTTAGGTAATAGTATACACTATATGTGTATTAGAGTAAAAGGTTTTTAAAATTAGTATACAATTTTAGAAGGAGACATTTCAGCGATTGGTAGATCAATTATCGTATTTTCAAAAAATGGTTATGAAAAATTAGGATGTGCTAACATTGAGTATGATAAAGACATCATTAAATATGTGAATGTAAGAAAAACTACTAAGTATGAAACAACACATTTTTTTGAAGCTGTAAGGAATGCAATGGGTGTTCCTGATTGGATGATTACTGTAGACAGTAGAAAAACAAAAATATTACATAATGGCGCTTGTATTCAATATTTGGTCCATTTTAAAGGTATATTTTGTAAAAGGTTATTCATGTATATTGTAATAGTTTAATTATCGAAATGACAAGACTTGATAGAGGTTCTGTTATTCATAACTTTTCTTGATAACAATAATAACATTAAAAAAATATAAATTTTAACAAAGTTATTAATTTATTTGTTTTAATTAGGTGCCCTTGCTAATGAATTGGAATCTGATTTTAGTAAACTATTAGCAATTGGACAATTACCTGCTCAAACACTGAAAATTAGTGGTTATTATCCTACTAATGTTAAATTAAAAATTCCATACCAAGGATGTCCTGTGTACAACAAAAAATTAGCTTCAAGTAAATTTTATAGTGTTCAATAATTGAATTTTGGTATATGTTGATTGTTAAATGATTAATTATTTGTTTCAGGTATATCATCTGCAGGGACATGGATCACAGGCAATGTTTTAGTTTTAACTGCATTAATTGCATTTAACATATTTTTATATGGTTGATTCCTAAGCTCAAGTTAACTATTTTTATACAATTCTATTTTTATTTATCATTATTGATTATTTATTATTGATTATTATTTATGTGTAATCTGTTTGTATGATTGTATGGTACATTGGGATACTTGTTGAGAGGATGTCGTCCCCGCATGTGTTGTATCCATCTTGCACTTGTACAAAATACCAAATTTCCATTCACTAGTTTTAATAGTGTGCCGTTAGTTTTGATATTAAAGTGAATTGACCTATCATTAAACTTTTATGTAAGAACATTATTGGTGTTCTCTTGTTGGTTTTTTACAATATTTAATTTTTTTAGTTAGTTATGAGCATTTACAAATATTAATACTTTACATACTTATAACTCACTTAAAAATAAAATATCGTAAAAAAACCAATAAGAGGACCCAGATAATGTTTTGACCTAAAAGTTTGATAATAGGTCAATTTATTTTAATATCAAAACTAACAGCACACTATTGAAACTAGTGAATGAAAATTTGGTATGTCGTATGTGTGTAAAATGAAGACAACATATGCTTATGTGATGTTCTCTTTAGTATATCATGTACCACAGTGCATTGATACTATTTTATGAAATGTTCTATTTTTTTAATTTTATATAATACTTGATTTAATAAATAAATTCCTTCTATTTGGATCTAAAATATTTTTAATTTGATCTTAAATATCACTTGAATGAATATTTAATGTAAAATTGTTTTTCACTAAAGGATTTATGAATTAATGAATAATATATTGACCCCATAACATCAAGGTAACAAAAACAAATTTTTTTGTCTTCACTCAGTGGCATTACAATTTAAAAGTTTTTAGAATTTAAACTTTGGGGGTGGTTTCTTGAAGCAAATTGGATCTAGTTGGTACCATTGTAGTTTAAAAGTAAAAAAGAGAACTCTATGAAAAAGTGTATGTCGTTATTTAGATTCTGAGCAGATCAATGAATGTATTGATTGTACAGTGTACACGGTAAGTAGTCAAAATGACTCTTCAATTATTGACTTTAGTATTTATTCTGGTGGTAAAATGAATCTAGTTGGTGTTTTTGAGAGTTCTAAATTGAAAGCATTTGAATTAGAGGGGAAAACTAAGGAAAAACGAAATTTTTATGAAAATCAATTTTTGACATAGTTACATTTTTATTAGATTTTACACATGGTGTAATTTAAAATTATTTTTACTCTTCGACCTATTTATAGATATTTCCAATTTAAAATTATTTTTTGTTTTTTATATATACATTTCCATTGAAAATTCTTGGTTTAATCGAAAGCTTGAAATTGTATTAGTAAGTTGTTATAATAAAAGTAATAAAATAAAAAAGTAATTTAAAAATAAAGATACAAAGGCATCACTTTTTTTAGCATTTAACTTATAGGGTTCAAATATTGACTAAATTCATCAACATTACGAAGACATGACAATTAATTTGTAGATAAAAATGTATATAAGGATTAAAAACAAATTAGTTTATATTGTAACCAAGAAATGCAAAAACAAAGTCGGATGAATTAGATATTAAAGGAAGAATAACGATTTAAGTAATTTTGTTGTAATTTAAAATTATTAATCATAGGTTTATCCTTAGGTATTACACTAGCATTGATGTTTGATAGTAAAATAAATTACTTTAATCACAATACCTAATACGATCAAATATACTGAGTAATAGCCAATAGGTACCTATATATTATAGGCTGACAGACCGTTTTCTTTCAGAATCGTTTTTCGAATACAAAGATTTAATATCATTGAATTCAAATTTTAACACATCACATCCATTAAAGTGACTCTCTATACACCTATTGTACAGTAGGGCGTTACCCACACACCCGCTTTTTTACTATTGACAATTTAAAATCGAAATTATTTGAAACATTTTCACTGCTCCAAAAAATTGTTCATAAAACACACAAATGCATAATTTGCATATATTATATTCTAATAAGTACATTCATCATTTTGCAAAACTACTTTTTAACAATATCGATTTTGGTTTCTTGTTTTACCTATTTCAAGCATAAAGTAAAAACGATAAACATAATAGGTACATATTCTCTAGACAATATATTTTTTATAATAGCAATTTATAGACTCGATAAAAAGTCAAAATATTTTGGATCTGTATTCTGTGCTATACATAGAGGTTTGCATTTTTCGATGTTTTCATTTTTGTAGTTAATATAATATTAATGGTATGATTTTTATACTTTAGTAAAAGTAAATGATAACTCAAATGTTGATGTTTATTTTGATTATCAACATTGTGGTACACTGGTACTATGCATGCCGCAAGGTAATTATAATTACTAATTATACCTTGGCATGCCGGTAGTTCCGTAGTACGACTGCGAGTCTGCGACGATGCGACGTCTTCTTCCACGACTGCCGCGCTATCGCGTCTCTATCACGGCCGTCATGTGATAACAGAGCATGTGACCACGTGAGGTTGTCCAATGTCGAAGCCCGATTGCACTGAGACAAGTACTGACTACCGAGTACCGAGTGGCGAGTAGGTTTTAGGCAAGGAACCTGAGGAAGACGCGGTCCATAATAATAAAATATTATATTTTTTAGTTGTAAATAATAAATTCGGGAGCGGTGTGACTGTCAGGCAAGTCGACGCCGATAAACTCTAAAAACGTCGACATCGCTGATATCGTCATCGGCAAACGGCAACGCACTCGCGTACGTAGTTGTACCACTTGTACGCGCACACGCCATACACACGCGCGCTCGGCACGTTTTTATTTATGTTTTTTAGTTCGTGTTAACATTATTTACAATTACAATAGAATAACATAATAGCGCCGATCCGGTCGGTGTAATAATAGTTCCTAAACAATTAACGTCGTCGGTCAATCTCCAGCGGTCAATAATTTTTTTCTCGGATAAGTGCGCGATCCGTTTTCCTTTGAACGGGACTTGGTCAAAACGTCGTCGATCGCCGTTGATCCAGCTGCTACTATAACTACCTTAGTGCCATCGTCGTTGCTGCTGTTGCTAATACCTTCTATTAATCAATTACTTGGTATTCGTACTAGTCAGTCGTCACCGAGTACTACAACACAACCATCTACAATTGCTAGTTACTAGTTGCTACTACTACTACTACTATTACTATTTTTACCACTATTTTATTATAGTGTGCGATTGCTCTTATTTCCGAGGAGCACTGTATGTTTTTCAAGTCATAGGTTAGGTAAGTCGGTAGTTTTAAAATCGTAGCTACAACCGCTGAAAGACAATGTCTCTACCAGTTGCTATTCTTTTTTTTTCACCACTGCATGGTTTTTGATCCATACTGTTTTAAAACCATTTTTATTTTTGTTTTTGTTTTTGTTTTTAGGTAAATTATCCTTGCTACGATGTTTGAGTACTTGTAGTTGTTTTTGTCGTGCCGTAATATATTTATGTACCTATCTAATATTTTTTACGTAAAGACTATTACACATAGATACTAATAAAGACAACACTTCGCAAGTTTTACCATACCGCTTAGTTTTAAATTGGCAGTTATGTATTCAGACGTGATAGAGTGAGTTTCAGATTTGCATCGTTATTTTGCCCAGATTTATATTAATTTCATGTTGTAGGTCACCATCTAAGGACTGTTTCTCCTTCAATGATCAGTCTACGCCTTATGACATGGCCGAGGTATTGATTATTATCATAGTTTTTTTTTCACTTCGTTGAAAAATGGAAGGTATTGTTTAACATAAAACTTTTTATTTGTTTTAGGTGAATGAGATTAGTAATCACTCCGATTTGGATTATATTTTTGATTCATATTATTCGTCGTAAGTTATTTTAAATATATATTTAATTATGTGCACTGTACCTACTTAAGTATGTGGGAGACTTGTATACTTTTGACTAAGAAACTGTATTTATTCTATTATACAAGAATAATTAGGCCTCATGTAAGAATAAATAAGATTGTATATGAGACTATAGTTTGAGTTGAACATTTAAATTTGCAAGTCATCTACAAACATATATCATTGAATTAGGTAGTTAAATCAAATATTCTTAGTAGAGTTTGTGGAGAGTTGATAATATTTTTGATACAAATATTAAATGTATTAAAATATTTAATTATTTTAATTTATATTGACCTTTTCTAAATTATTTAAGTTATCTTGAAAATTTTTTTTCAAGGTTATATTATATATTTTAATAACACTTCAAAGTGTAGAATATTTCATGAACACAACAATTAAGTCAATGAAAACGTAAAAAAAAAATTATTTGTTTAGTTTTTAAGATAAGATAATAGATAGGGTTTCGCGTCTTACAAAATATAGGATCTCGTTTTTAATTTCAATCGTATTGATAAGGCAAATTTGATACCAAATAAACAATGAAAACATACATTTTTTAAATTTAAAAAATTGTCTTAATTAAATGTTGATTAAAGATCATACAAACAATGTGCGTGAATTCTCTTTTTAATTTACAAATTTATTTTGTATAATATGATTATTATAAATATAATTATTACAGTAATATAGCAACATTCTATAGTTTATTCAAGTTAAAACTCGTACTTGGCAGTAAACTTATGTTTAGTGGAGCGTCTTCACTAAACGATAGGCATATAAATAGTAAATCCTGTTGTAGGACTGATCTGGGCTGATCGTCTTTTGTTGAAATCTGTTTCCTTTCTTGTATGCTACTTAACTTGTATAGAGTTTATTTGATAAAATCCAGATTTGGTTGATATATTTACAAAATCTGTTATTAATTATTATAATATATATGCATAAGCACTAGTGATAAATCATTTAATAAATATAATAACAGGTATATCCTTGCAAGTAATTGCATATTAACATATTATTTTTTATTATTTGTTTTAATTAAGTTTGGGTAATTGACTTCTAAGTTACACATGAAAACGGTGACCATTGGATGATGTATTGATATTGACAAGATTAAATTATATCTAGACAACATTGATGAAAAACGATGCATAAATGATAATAAAAATACTACTTAAACACTAAATGATAGATTGGGGAGAGTTATATTTTGTTGAGTAGATTGTTGCCAATGATGAATTTAGTTCAAAAAGAGTGCGGTACTAGTTAAGTTATGCAACGAATGATTCAGGAAGCATAGAATTTACTCTGTCCTGAGTAGATCTGTCCTAGATAGCATTCAGTAAAAATATGTTCATAGGCGCGATTGGGGGGGACTTGGAGGGGCTTAGCCACTCCAAAAATTTATATTTTAATTGAAGTATTAATTCCTTCATTAATTATCTAATCCACATAATACAGTAAATGTTGTTTAAAAAAAATTGTTTCCAAAGTTTAAATCTGGAAATATGAAACAAGCCCGTGCAAGGTGCAAGCTGCAGAGCTTTATCCTAATTTATATAAACTGTTATCACTATCTCTAATTCCAATTAGCTCTGCAACATGTGAAAGATCATTCTTAGCAATAAGAAAGATTAAAAATCGGCTTCAAACATTTACGCATCAGGATAGATTTACAAATTTATCATTGATTTATTTAGAACGAAATTTATCAAATGAATTGTCCAATGAAAAAATATTAGATAAATTTGCAATTTTTAACTGAAGGTTCCAATTATAATAATATACTTAATGAATATATATGTATTACATTTATTTACCTAAATGTTGTTATTTTTTTCATACAAATATTTTTAGTTTTATTAATAGATGCATTATAATATATTAAATGTAGAAAAGTAGGTCGAAAATATGATATCGCCATATTTTTACTTAAATGGGAGGTGTGGGGGCAGAGCTCTCCACGTGCCTGATATAAATATGTTTTAATATGTTGAGCCCCTCCAGGTTATAAACTGAAATTGCGCCTATGAATATGTTTGATATCAGTACAGACCCCGCAGCAGTGCATATTGGAGTATTCTCTTTGGCCATTAAGAGGATGTCAGTTTAATATTTGTTTTCTCTCTTAGACTCTCTTGCAATATAGATAAAATGCATTCACATAAAATTGTTTTTTTTTATGATTTTTGAGTAATTAGTATAGTAAAAGCATGTATTATAAAAATATTATACTTCATCAATAATCATATATTTGAGGGTTTGACATATCAATTTTATATTTGATTATGACCTATTTGACTTTATACTCTACTTTAAAAATAAAAATAATTTAATGTAAATTTAAATGGAGATTAAATCGTTTTGAGTCAATATTTAACCAAATCGATATGTCATACCCTTGAAATTATTATTCTTTATAATTTTTGCAATAGGTGATTTTACTTTAAGATGACTCGTAAATATAAAAAAAAAAAATTGTGTGAATGAGTTTTGGTTATATAGCGAGTGGGCCAGAGAAAAGAAAGAATCAATGTGCTGTCATTCTTTTACTATGTGAAATTTCTGTGTGGCTGATTTTTAGTAAAGTGGTGATGACTTTGAATTCTCTGGACAATTTGAGAGAGAAAAGCCGCTGATAAATATTTTGTTTGATTTCATGTAGTTTGGTAAATTCAGTTGACCACTGTTGGTAAGTGTAAGTGTACGTTTATTTTTAATTTAGGTTAGTATATCATTGAGTAAGACAATGTTAGAAAGGAATTATATTTTGGCTGGCTTAATTAGCATATTTGTTTCTGATTGTGTTAGAGTGGCTGGGGATCCAGAGTAATTTGATTTTAAAGTTGTTATTTTTGAGATAATGAATATAATTTTAAAATCAAGACTGATATAAAATATTATTGTGTCTGAAGCTATGATTTTTTATAATATCAACTGCGGTGGATATTGAACGGGAGTTTAAAAGCTTACATATGAATTTATAGTCGTTACAGATGATAGTAAAATTGATGTAGTTCTAGCTTTTAGACGTGTTAGTATAATATAATTTTTTGCCACGATCGTCGTAGGTTAAGCATAAATAATGTTCATTATAAATTAATGGATTTGTTGAGTTTTTTTATACAATTTATTAACTTATCTGTTATTATTGGTTATACTAGTTTTAAAATATTTATATTACTGGAAAAACATATTATGTAAAGAATAAAAGAAATTATTAAGATTATAAATGAGGATTTCAATAAGTTTAGGAATTTTAGATTCTGAGTGAAGATATATTGATTTTAAAGTTGTGTGTGTTCTTTGTGTCTGTCCTTATGTTATTGAGCTATAAATATGCTTAGGTTTTCAATCTTGATAGTGGTCTGATAGCAAATTAGATCTAGGTAGTGCTTAGGAGGTGTCAAAAGTAAAAAAAATTACAATACTATTCAAAGTAACCAGTATTAGTATTGACATTTTATTGTGGTTATCTTTAATTATCATTTTTATGTCTTAGGGTATCAAGATATAATACAGGTTTTGAGCTTCCTGAAGACTGCAAAAATATGAGTTTCTCAGAACTATTTGATCAAGAACTGTTTAGTACTCATGGTAAATATGTTTAACATTATCATAATCATTATTTTAATAAATATTAACATTTAAAATCCTGTTTCAGAAGATAAAGACTGTCAAATCACAATTAAAATTGAAAAAGAAGAACCGTCAAATGAATGTTATTCTGCTGATAATTCTATAGATACTACTGGTAGTCAAAGTTTTGTAAAAGTTGAAGAAAATAGTCCTTCTTCATCATTATCAAAAAGTTTTGCTCCAAAGCGAGGCATTAATAGAACTTCTATAAAAACAATGGGCACTTCTGATGTCAATCATCTTATACATAATCCTTTTTGCGAAATAGAACAAGTTAATAATCAAATGTTGGGGTATATTAACTCATCTATTGTAAAATGTGAAGCTGAAGATGACAATGATAATGTTGAAGAAAACTTGGTTGAAATGGAAGTAAGTCCATATTATTCTGCTGATGATTTACAACAAAATAACACAGGTTTGGAAAAAATTGAAGAAATTGTTGTGTCATCTTCATCATTAAAAAGTTCTATTACAAAGCCTCGAGGAATTAACAGAATATCTATTAAATCTCCTGATAATTCTAATGCTAAACTGCTTTGTAATACTTTTTGTGAACCAAAAGATCTTGCCAATGATCGAATGCCAGTTAAAGTTCAAACACCAATTATTAAATGCGAACCCTTAGATGAAAATGAAACTATTGAAGAAACCATTGTTGGCCTTCAGTATTCTGCTGATGATTCACAATCTACATCAAATAATCACAGTATGATGTATGTGAAAAATAGTGTCAGTAAATATGGTTCACAAAGTGCAACTAGTAGTCATAATGGGGGTTAAGTTATAGATAGTATTACTCCTTTGTTATTAAAAAAGTCAACTTCAAAGTGTCAGGGTATTAATAAAATATCTTTAAAAACTACCAATAATGTTAAGCAGCCCATATACAGTAAATCAAAACATTTAGGTACTAATCAAATCTCAGTTAAAGTACAAACTCCGATTATGAAATTTGAACCTGAAAATTTCAATGGCTATATTGAAAAACACATCATTAAAAAAGAAGTGAAACCATCTTATTCTGCTGACACCTTGAATTGTACACCAATGAATCGCAGTTTTGTGAAAGATGAAATTAGGCCATTGTTAAAAAATGCTGCCCCTAAGCATCGAGCTAATAATAAAAAGTCAATAAAAGCTACTGAAAATTATGGCGTTAAACACATTGCCCATAACCTTCATTGTGAACCTAAAAAAATAGGCGATGAACAAATTTCTGCGAAGCTTACAACACCTGTTATTAAACGTGAACTTGAAGATTTCAATGACATTAGTAAAGAAAATATTGAAATGGTGATAAATCCATCCTATTCTTTTTCTAATGGCTTACAAGGTACTACTATAAGTCATAGTTTGGTAAAAATTGATCAAATTGTTTCATCACCAAAAGGTTTAGCTTCTCGACACCAAAGTGCTGATAACAGTTCCATAAAAACAACTGACAATTCAAAAAACCACTTAATATACAACCTTAACAACAAACCAAAAGATCTAGGTAATGATGTAGCTTCAGTGAAAGATAAAATACTTATTATAAAACGTGAACCTGAAAATAATAATAGCACTATTCAACCAAACTTGAGAATTAATTTAAAAACTGAAAAAGATACAAAATGCATTGATCCAAAAGAAATTCATTCTTCCTATTTAATTAATGGGAATGCAGAAAGTCAAAAAGTTGTCATAAAAAATATGGAAACCATTGTATCTTCAATGAAAACCGAGGATATAGATTCTCAGACGGATAAAAAAAAAATCTCGTGGGAAGAATTTAGGGCAAAAAGAGAAAAAATGGGTTTGATAAATATTTCGGGTAATATTTGTATATACTAAAAATACATAATTATTTTCTATATCTTAATTTAAAAATGTATGTAAATTTATTTTAGAAATAAAAGAAGAGCCAGCAGTAGACATAGTTGCAACAGACAATGTTAAAATGAAAGCAATGAAAGAAGAGTTTGATCGAAACACAGCTGAACATTTTACTGGCCAAAAAAGGAAGATTGATGATAATGAAGAGCAAATTACTACTGCTAAAGAAATAAACAATGAAGAAGAAGAACTGCAAAAAAAGCGGATGAAAATTGAATACATTAAAAATCTTCTACCATCATCTTTTGGTAATATTGCATTATAATCTATTTAACTTAAGAGCCATTAGTGCTAAACAAAATTTTACAAAATTATTATTTGGTAGGTTTATATATTTAATTTTTGTGATACTGTTGGTGTATTTGCCTAACCTAAATCACTTTTTAGTAACTAAAAATGACTTTTTTATCATATTGTAGAATAGCAGCCTTTAAACTAACTAAAATTGTTTTGTTATTTTAGCATCAGAAATAGCAGAGACGTCAAGTTTGATGAAGGGCAGTTTAGTAGAAGATAATGGTAAATTTTATAATTTAAATTACACTTTTGATAATATTTATTAAATTATTTTTATTTTTAGATAATGAAAGTACTTCTGATGATTCAATGTTATCCAATGAAAAAATACAAGGAAAATATCTAAACACACATGATAAGTCCCAAAAAAATGGCCATCAGAGCAGATTGTATTCGTCGCACCGTAATTTATCAAGGTTTGTATTATTATAACTTATAAGAAATATAAATGTTAGTAAATAATATTTTATCTCATTCAATTAATAAGGTCTGATTATAATAATAAAAGTAGCCGTTCATCATCAATATCATCCAACCCAGATGATTATTATAGTCGTAACAGAACTGATGCTGCTTTACAAGGATCACAATATAATCAAAATACACGAACCGCTCTTCAAAGGTAATGCGGATATGCATTATTGTATAATTGTACTAGAAAGTGTATTCAAAAAGTTTTGTTACTGTACCGATTAAATTATATAGGAATAAAGAACAGAAAAGGGTGGTATATGTTGGACAGATACCAATCAAACTTGGAAAGCGTTACTTATACAATCGGTTCAAGGAATTTGGCACAATACAATCTTTAACCCTTCATAAAAAACCAGAGTATGTGTAATATATAATAACCAAATATATTTAATTAACTTTTCTATAATTTTTTTTTTCTATCTTTTAGTTTTCGTGTTTATTATGCTTTTGTAACATATTCTGATAATTCAGAGGCTGACCGTGCTATTAGTCATGGAAATGATGATGAAAGTCAAGTGCAATTAGATATTAGATTTGGCGAACGTAAACAAACTCAAACTCCTTACTATGATTTAGGTAATTAATATATATTTATATCAATAAAAAAAAAAAACCGCTATTAAATGTAATTAAACATTTTTTAGATGATGAATGGTTAACCGACTGGTACGGATACCAACAACCTTTAGCACCAGTAGTGAAAGCACAAACTCTTGAAAAAGTATCTTTTGAAGAAGAATTGCAAGAATTTTATAAGCTTGCTCAAATTAAAAAGTTAAATAAAATTAAGTCTTCTCAAGTCTCTTGACATAAGTTTTTTATTTTATTTCATCTTATAGTGTTGAAATAAAAATGTAATAAATACTGTTATAATTTTTCTCTTTTTAAGTTGTTTTGTTTTATTTTACAACAAAATATGAACCTTAAAAAAACAATTCAAAAAATAATGTGTAAATTTATGTAAAAAAAATTGTTCATGTCTATATGTTTTCTTCAGTGTTGTCTTGAACAATTTTAGCTACTTTTCGGTATTCTACAGCACTTGTTTTTGTACATTTCATTTCAGTCCAACTAATTGGGGTCATTGGATGTCCTAAAATTTAGACGATATTAGTCTTAACAAGTAAATTAAAACCATAGGTCAGTAAACACTTACCATATTCACTGCACGCAATAACTACACCAAGTTCATTTTCAGCAGTGGTTAGTTTGAAGGTATGAGCTTCAGTCATTGGCAACTGAAATTAAATGCAAGTCGAAAATATTAATGTTGGCTTGGTGTGAGATATCTAAGAGAGTCAGACGACCAATATGTGTCACTCACGATTCTAGCTAATATTATATCTCCTGGTCTAAAACACTGTAACATATCGATTTTGTCAATTTCTTTCATGCGTACGTCTTGTCTTCTTAAACTACTTCTGTATGTTTCATTCAGTTCGTGTCCACAGACACTTGTTATTAGACACTTGCACATATCTTGGTTTAATGTAGTAACCTAACAGGAAAAATTCAATAATAGATAATATAATTTTTGTTTTTGTGATCAACAGGTATAGCGCATTACAAAATATTACAACCAAAATACATATAAAAATAATTCACGATTATATGTATAAGACTAAAAAATAGAGTTAATGATAACTGAACTAATAAGATTTTTTTAGAAACAATAAATCATTAAATTTAAAAATTATCAGAATTAAAAAAATCAAGCGAATAGGAGGTTTTATTGGCAAACAAAGAGCTATGAGAAGAAAAGAAAAAGTTCCACTATCTATCCTATAATGAGGAATAATAACAAATAAATCTAAACCGCGTGTAAATAGTCTAGGCATTTGGAAATCTATCATATTATTTATTATTATTATAAATTATTACACATAATTTATTAGTAAAATAATCATAAATTGAAGTTATATTACCATCGCTGTCACAATGTCTCCAGGTGCTGGAACAATAGTCTGATCTTTACTTCGAACTTCCACAACAGATATCTAAAAAAAACAGATTAGTTTTAATACTATTTTTACTTCTTTTTTAATTACATTCCACAGACTTAAATTCACCTTATTGTTTGTGTTATCTACATTTACAATTCCAGCCAAACTAGAATAAATGTAATCTTGTCTTTTGTATGTCCCTTTACCTAAAGTGTGTGTTGAATCTAGTCGGCAAAGCCGTTGTCCTAAATATAAACAAACCATTTGAGTAAAAAAACTATTTTGTTTTTACAAACATTTTAAGTACTTTTAATTCTTGTACATAGTTAAAAGTTAGTTAACTAATTTAAATTGGCAACAAAACGTATATACTTTAAAATAGTACCTATAATATACTTGGGATCAAAATATTAATGTATATAAAACAAGTACCTACATTATATTATTAACTTATGTTTTAATAGCAAANTTTTTTTTTTAATCCAAAATAAAATAATTCACTAATAATTTATGAGTTTAAAAAAAAATTTCTTCTTTCTAAGTTATTTGGCTATTTCTAATATTATAATGTTTACTATTTTTACTAATTTATCTTAATATATAATATTATAAACTTTTAATTATAAATAGCTCAATCATTATGTCAATAATTTATATTATTATTTAAGTTTAAAATATAAAAGTAGCAGATTAAGCCATCAGATATTCTATATATTATAAGAATCAACACTGTTAAAAAATATTTGAAGAATAGGTACAATGTAAAAGAAAAGTATAAAAACATGAGAAAGGTGAATAATATTTTTTATTTTTTTAGTAATTAAGAGAGAATGTGTTAAAAAGTTAATTTCTTCAAATACTTATTCAAAATAATTTTAATTGAGAACATAAAACTTACTTTGACTAAAGATAAAATATGTTCAGGTGAATTAATAGTTTCCAAATCTACAAAATTACAGTCTTGCTTTTTATATTTCGCACTGTCGTTATTATTAATCCATTCCTACATTAAAACAGATAAGTATAAAGGATAAGGATTATTAAAACTAACTAGATACTTGGATAATAAGCCAAGTAAAATGGTTATCTGATAAAAAAAGGTTCTATGATGTTCATAGCTGTAAGTTTGAATAATATAGATAAATTCACTCGGCTTAAAACACAAAATTGGTTCTACTGAAGTACTGAACACAAGTTTACTATGTTGTATGCTTGTGTAGGGTTTTCTTAAGTCTTAAGCTGATTTAATGTTATAGGTTAACTTACTGATACATTTTTTTTACAATTGTAAAATGAAGTGTGTTTTGTTGAGTTTAGCTCTCTGATTAAATTTCTACGCACGTGTGCTTTAGGAACTTTATAATTAATATTACAACCATTAGAATCTGTTATAAAATTAAAACATCATATTTTTAAAATGAGTCATAATATTATACTGTAGACATGTAACGTAGGGCCAAGTGTTGCTCAGGTAATACTCACCACTTACTAGTCCTAATATCTTATTGGTTCTTCTCGACATATTTATTAAAATGTTCAGCAATGCTACACAAAAATGTAATTATATGTATTTAGATCTAAGAGATTTTTATTAGATAATATTTTAGATTTATAGCAAAGAGATCAAACTGTTATGGACAAAGTAACTTTCCTATACACAAACCAGATATCAAAATAACAGAATAATAATATAATAATTCTTCAAATAATGACTTGTGACCTTTTGCACAAAGCCGCATACACAATTTCGAATATTGTCCTTTTACACATAACGTGATATTGACATAAGCCCTTTTACACCAAGAAAATTATATAATCATGACTAATGACTTATCGCACTATCAAATAACTTGATAATTATTGGAGATGTGTTAAAAACAGTGGTACCACTAAACGCAGCACAAAATTTCCTATAAAATTCATACATAACCCGAAAATGGCTAAAATTGACTTGTGCCCTTTTGCACAGAGACCGTCCAATTTAATATAATAATTATTAATTATTTCTTTAATATAATACATAATTCATTTACAAACTTAATTAGGTACTTGAACAATAGGTAAGTACTTAATACTGGCTTTAATAATTGCTTAGGTACAATATGTCAATACTTGATGAATATAAAATAATAATATAATAAAAATTGCTTTTTTTTTTTTAATAAACATTTAAAAATCTTACATATTATCTGGTAATGAAATTTCATTTAATACATTTAACAGGTCATCATAATCATCATCATCATTAATACATGCATGGTCATTATTTGATGTAACAGTTTCACTTGATTTTTGATACATTGTTTGTGTATTGAACTTAGTGTACATTGATTTTGTTGGAACAAAAGAAGTACAACACTTTTTCAAGGAATTAAAATGACACCGGATTCTTAATAAATTTTCTAACATTACCAAATTCATTTTATTCCTTGATCTTGTTTTAACACCATTTAATATGGAAAACACTCTTTCCACAATTGCATTACTTGATGGTAAACATAATAATTTAAGAACAAACTCAGAAAGTTCTCTAAAAATATATGTACCACCTGCATCTTTAAATGAATACAGTTTGGACCAAAATTTTAAACTATCTGATAATTCATCTTCGCTTAAATAATAAGTAAATTTTACTGTTGTCAGCTTTTCCCATTGTGTTTCAACTGTGCCGAACATGGATTTATTTAAAAATTGGTCAATAAATGGTAAATGTTTAAAAGAAGGGTGCAATTGATTGAGGCATTGCTTGGGTGAAAATAATTGTAGTTTTTGAAAAAACTCTAAATTGTCAGGTAGTCTTTTGTCTAGTTCATACAATAATGCCTTTATAAATGAAAATGCTTTGAATTCTAATGTTTTAATAGCATTAGGATCAATATTTAAAGTTTTTAATACTCTATTGTAATCTAGACCATAGTCACATTTATCTGAAGAATTATAAACATCGTTATTATTAATTTGGTCTCTCATGAAATTAAAGCCTTTTGAAATAACATTAACATTAATAATTTTTTTTGCAAGAAATAAAAATAAGGAACTTATGTCATCATAAGATCTTCCAATATCGACAAAACTTTTTTGGAATGTTATATTTAAATGATTGACTTCATATAGAATTGGTTTAATTATTAACAAATATAAGTAATTTACATCATCATTCAACATCTCATTTAAAAGTCTAGCAACATAACACTTTTCTTTTTTTACCACTAGTGAAAAATGTGTTTTCAACTCCAACCAATGTTCTACAATGTTATTAACAACATTCGAACGAGCTAACCAACGAGTAGCTGATAACTGATGAAAATTGTGAAATTTTTTATTATTTGGACCAGAATTAATCAGGTCAAATGTTTTTTTGTACTCGGCTCTTCAGAGTGGACTAATGTGGAACCAATTATAAACTTCACGACATATATANAGTTGCAATCTTATTATATTTCTGGAGCCCAAGTCCGCTGAGTGCCCCCTTTGAATTATACAAATTTTGAATCTGCGTTGGTTGCCCTTTCTATTAAAAATGGTTTGACAACTAGCAATTTGGGTGTTCATTTCGAAAAATCTGTTCTAAGTATACCACGTGGCAGCTTTGCCTGTATTTCATGAAAGTCGTATAATATGTGTATACTTTTCATTTTCTAGAGGCCGCTTCTAAATCCCCTGATTGCCCCATCCAAAAACTACAAATTTCAAATAGATGCTGAATGCTCTTTCGCCTTAAAATGGTCTGGAAAACATAAATTTCCTTGTTCGTTTTAAAAAAGCCGTCCTATTAGACCAACTTTGCAGCCGCATGGCACATAAATCGCAAAAATCGTATGCTTGATATCGTTTTATAATCCTGGAATTTAAGTCTACCGTGGCCCTCTTGGAAAACTACAGATTCCGAATTTTTATTTGTCTCTCTCAATTAAATATAATTCGGTGTACATACATTTTGTTTTTCATGCTGAGTCGTCCCTCCAAAATGTTCTTTATAGTAGAATCATCGTCGTGTCTACTAAATTATGTGGGGTGTAAAATTGGATTTGTTTTAACTTTTAATAACTAAGGAGGATTGTTATTTGTAATGTTCATTATAACAGGGTATAGGATTAATGATATATCCCCTTTTTTATGTGTACTGGCAGTATTGGGACATACAATTGTATTCAAAAATATTTGTTATCAAGTTATTCCAAGAATACTAAATGTTATTTTTTAAAAGCTATTTGTAAAAGTTTAATAATTATTAATTTATGATCATTATGCGAGGTCTTTAACATATAAATATACATAATCTAGTTAATTGTTATTCATTCTATGATTATATGTTTAAGCTCGTTCCCTATTGTTGACCCTGTAGTTTTATCAAAATGTTAAATTAGTTTTGAATAATATTATATAGACCGTTGGTGGGTTATTGTCGGATAATATACATTTTTTTCTTAAAGCTGATTTGATTTGACTGTTTGGAATACACCTGTAGAAGATCTTAATACTTTTTGTAATAATTGTAGGTTTAGGGTTTTCTATTCTCATTTTGGTACAATATTTTTGCCTATTGATGCCTATATTTACATTATAAGATATATATCACTTGCAGTTGATTTTTATTTTTGTTTTCATGAATACATTGTACTATGATATAATCGTATATATTTACTCAAATTAGATTTATTTATGAAATTTGTTTATGAAATCCAATATTTACAAAAAAAAATTTTAATTATTATCAATTTTTATGGAATTATATTCATACTAGGTAGTTCAGAATTTTGTTTGTTTTATTAATTGCATTAATATAGTATGACATATCACTTATTAATATTTAATAATATTATAATCTTAATAATTATAATAATTATCATTAATCCATCTTGAATTAGGTATATCTGAAAAATAAATATTTTTGTTAAGACTCCTAGTAATATATTAATAGGCAATATAGTATACAGGAATACGGTTACCGACCTTATCAGAATTGATAAGAGCTAAACGTCCGGGAGCTAACTTCACAGACATTTGACACTTTTAGTACTAATAAGAAATAACCAAGGGGTAAGGACAAAAAGACTGTAACCACCAACCGGTAAGACTATAGAGTCTAGAAAGTAGAATCTGGATTACTGATAAGGATACCGCTTATCAAAACGAGCCAAAAAAAGCAAACGATTTAACGGCCACAGGCTGCGCTGCAGTCGCGCAATCACGAGCTATTAAATCATCAAGATTTTCAAGAAGAAAAATTCGATACGTATCGATACGGAATAGTTACGTACCACCTCGTATCGGAGTCCGAGTCCGATACGGGTCGGTACGTATCGCTTGTACATTGCACGCGTAACATCTTGAACGCCCAAATTTGACCCGATACGTACCGATACACTCCAAATTCTTTCTTGAAAATCTTGCATGTCTGAGAAATCAATGGACCATTAGCTCACTATTGAATATTGATTCATTAAATGTCACAGACTTGGAGACTCCTATACTAAACTATAATATAGAAATCTGTGTTAAATGTTTAGTGATAGTTCATGCAACCAGGCAATAATATAACATAGGTATACTTCATTTTTAATCGTTATTACAACTGTTTGTAATAGCTCTGGAGATGTATCAATGTTTTCAAATCAATTGAAAAATAACCTCTACTATAAAATTATAATATTATTTCAATTGAGCATTACAATTATACGTTTATACATTTTTATTCATTTGTAGTTGATGTATTTAATTTTCTATTCACATCCGATTTCAATCGATAGGTAGTTGGTAGGTATTTTTAAATAATAAATTGGTTAAATTACATAACTTACGTACCTACCTATATTTACCTTTAGATCAGTTGTTTATAAAATACTTAATCATAATATTATTCTTATCTATACATAATTTTGTGTTTATTTATTTTTGAACTCATATAGCGGGCGGCCGTCTTTTCGGTCAAAACTTACCGTTCCCATTTCGGTCGTTGTCCCTTTTCGGATGGTAATTTTTTTATTAACATTATTACCAACAACTGGATGAAAAAATAATGAAATATAACAATAAAACAATTGGCAATAAACTGTTTTAACATACTACATGAATCGAATAAAAATGAATATAGTCTTATAATGCATACATAATAATATTAATTATGACAATAAAATATGCATTCATGAAAACGCCGAAAGTTAAGATTTCATAATATAATAGTTGAATAAAAATTAATATGATCTTATAAAACCTATACAATAATCATTATGATAAAAAAATGTACACACTACACAGTACATATTTAGTACCTAATTGATTTTTCATAATGACAATAATTTAATATATTAATATATATTAGATAAAATGGAAACGATAAGGTGTAACATATTGGCATTACTCTATATTATAAGTATAATACCATACTATACTCTATTGCCTATACAGTCCATTCTCAAACTTTTTTTTTCGCGTACCACTAAAGTTTATTATCAATCAATCACGTACCACTGATGATTAAAAATAAAACGATACAAACTTTACATTGTAAAGTACATTTATTTTAAATAAAAATGCAGTAAAATACTACAATATATTATTATTTATTTATTAATGCCTACAAATTTATTAGTGTTTAAAAATTAAGATATGAATTAAATAACGTCTAATTATCAATCTAATATTTATTTTTAATTTTCCGTTCTACTGCCATGCGACCTTCCACGTACCACCATGAAGTCTTTCGCGTCTTTCGCGTACCGCAGTTTGAAAACTGCTGGTCTATAGCCCTATAGGAATCATCAATATACTAATTGGGCAGCGTTTTACATTATATTATTTCAAAAAACTAACAAGGAGAAATGCTGATTTTTTTTATTTCCAAAAAATCAACTATGAACGAAATTATACTTGCATTGAAGACTCAAGACTATAAAAAATAGTAAAATTTCCAATTATTTTATTTTATTTTTTCATCCAGTTGTTAGTAATAATGTTAATATAAAAATTACTAA